CTCTCTCATATTAATCTGGATTAATGTATTTAAAATATGTTTTTATATACTAAACATAAATAAAATGATAAATATTTGATATTTAGAAAGAGATCCTTTCATCACATGCTATCATATCGTGAATATTGCTATAAATAATATTTTCGGAAACAGAAAATTGTTTGTAATATAAGTTATTTACGGAAATATCAAACGAGTGTTTATTCATGCAAACAAAAAACCTTGTGTTTCGTATAATCGCATAAAACATTATTATTGGAGTCAATTAGGAAATCGTAACAAATATTATATTCAATAAATTGCAATTAATTTTAAGAATAGTCACAATAGTAACAATGTCATAAATTATACTGTGCAATATTTAAATACACTGCCACTTATGAACTATTAACTAGATGTGAGGGAGAGAGAGAATTGAAGAGGGTATTTTGTGGGCAAATACTTGCGTACATTTCTATAGACCTGTCCAATGAGTCCATCAACGGTGCCATTCCTATGCAAATCCCCGATTTTGTTGTGTTCAGACAATTGCAAAGTGTAGGCCATTCTTGTGATGCCTGCGATCTCATTGAGCAGATCGACGCAAAAGCCCTCAAACTGTCCGTTGGCCAGACGGTTAGCGTACGGCCATTTCTGTACATACAACATATTTTTATCATGTATTATTTGTTGAAAATTTGTGTTAATTAGTTAAATATAATTAGAAGTGTAATGTATTTATTTAATACAATGTTATAATAGCAAGTATTTATAAAATGTATGTTAAGTACAATAGGGATGCCTTATATGCGGTTATGATAGGGTTTATACAAATGGTTTTCATTGCGTTTTTTAATACTATTGTTATATTGTTTAAGAATGTGATCACTAAATATCGAGACAAAGACATCATTTAAATAATAGTGGTTTAATTTCAAGGTCTGTTTAATTGTCGCCTACTTTTGATTTATAAATATTGAGAAATGTGTTATCTATTCACTATTATATTTTGTTATTAGTTATTGACAATAACTTATTGTATTTTCCTTTAATTAAATATTAATTTTAATTACAAATATTATTATTATTATGTAAAAGAATTTGAGATATTCTTGATGATTTAACTATTAATACAGGAAATTGTTTTAGTACAGTATGAAATGACTTATACATAAATAAACTTAAATAAATAAAAGAATAATTGAAATAGATTTTATTTATTAGCTTAATTTGTAATATTTAATTATTTTAATGAGGAATCTAATACTACTGTATATTAATTAGGATTTTGAACCAAAATAATGTAATAACGGATATAATTATTAGACTATTATTGCTCTCATTTATTACATGTTTAAAAGTCAATATTATTTTAATCAGTAAATTAATAATATAACAACATATAAAACAATGAAAGGGAATATCTTTATTTTTATTGTGAATTATAATATAATAATTTATTGTTAAAATCTATACAAAGTACTTAAATAAAGTTTTAAATTCATGGAAATGAGTTATTCATGAAAATATTTTATTATAATTAATAGCAATTGAATATAAATTGATTGATTTAAAATGTATTATATATTTTCATACCCTTATAGTAACACCTTTTAACACAACACCTGTCGTGAAGTTATTAAACATATAAACAGTCGTCAAAACACTTAACAAACAAATTCTTGAAAACATAATTTGTAGTTAAATTGTGGCCAAAATATAAAACTGTTTTTCATAAAGTTTTACACATCTTATCGGTGAAGGTATGGCAGCGTTTGAATAGTGAAAAACATATCGCAAATACATTTATATATAAGTGTATACATTGTATAATTGAAAATGTGTTGTATATATAATTTGTACATAATATTTACCTTACATTTGAATGAATGAATATATATTGCGAGTCATAGGCAGGTATTATATAAGTGGGCGAAACCCTTACCTTGAATTGGATGCTCAACACAACACATAAGCGACTGCTTATAATCGTATGAACTTCACGATTAAATTCAATTATTTTTCCTTACAATCCATTTATGCTCTGATTTATAGCAAAGTTTTAAAACATTGTTTCTCTTATATAATGTTTATTTTGGTTATTTGTATGGAAAAACACAAATGCTTTTGGCCTAAAAAGCACACAAAAGTG